CCTGGAGCTGATCCGTGCTGGTCGCTGAGGAAATACATCAACTTCACGCTGTGGATCGCCGGATCGGCTTTCACCGTGGACGAAGCGGAGTCCAGCCCGGAGTCGTCACATGTGGTTGCTGCAAGCCCTCCGGACGCTCCTTCATTGAATCCGCCGGCCGTTCCTCACTCTAGCCCGACGTGTGTGACACTAGAAAGGCGGGGCATAGAGGAGAAACAATAATGTACAGTATGTGGAAAATAATGTGTTTTTTGAACCGCATAAACATTTAATTTCACTAAATACACAAAATAATGTTCTTTTTAGCAACATCATATGACCCCTTTAAATGCCACAAGTGCAGGGAACCATGCCAGGAGTTTGAAAAGTGCCAAGTTAAATTCGAGTTCACCCTGTTGCACCATCTTTTTTTTTTGCACTTTGTAATTTTAGTGAAAAATAGATGTAGTAAAGTTGAAAACTGTTTATTCCAGTTAATGTACCACAATTTAACTTTACTCAAAAAGTAGAAGAAAAAAAAATGTACAGAAGATCTGTAATGAAAGTAGTTGTAATTTGTTACTTTCCACCACTGGTTATGACCTCAAACTGTCAGAACTAACACATGCTATAAGTACGTGCTGTAATAGTCAGAGCTCATTCTTTTCTGGTATTTAAAATCAGAAAGTGCAAATAAAGATATTCTACCAAATCTGCGCTTACAAAGTGGTCATCAACATTCGTGCATATGTATCTTAGTATATTCGTGTGTATATATATTATACTAAAGTTTGCTTAAATCCTCCTTTAAATTAAGAAAAAAAAAATACTGAAGGCAAAACCCTTCAGTTAACATATAATAGAGAAATACACTGAATAAAATAATATTATAAAGAAGGATAAGAATTCCTCAAGCAGTAAGTGTCCACACACAGCCCCTCATTGGGAGATTCTGAGATTCTTTTCCAGCTGTTTAAACAGAATTCCATAAGAACGAATGGACTTCTCCACGATCTCTCTCTTTATCAGGCGGGGTTCCTGCAGGAATCTCGATCAAACAGTATTCCTTTTTAGCTCACACTTTTCTCATTTTTGGATTGATTCTGTTCTGCAGCACATCGTAGGTTATTCCGGTCTCTTCACATGTAACTGTGTGGCTGTAAGCAGCAGCCTCGTTTATGTCATACTTTGAATAGATTCCTCTGCCGTACCTTTGTCCAGAGCCTGGTATGTAATGAGACTCAATGATGGCTTTGGCACTGTTCATGCTGGTTTCATGATAAGAGACGGGCCACTCGCAATCCACTGAGTAACTCCTCCATCCATCTGTGCCCAACCAGGCATTTCCATCTGGTTACTTATCCAAGACCTTGATGGCAATACGTTTCCACCCAAAGTGGCGTTTGTACGGCTCATTCCCACGCATGCACGTCAAGTAATCCTTTAAATCTGTGTAATCATAATCAAATCTTGGGTCTAGAAATTCATCTATATCCACAAATGGCTCACTGCAAAAACATTTTAGCGAGACAGCTCCAGGAAATGTTTGTTTCCTAACAATGGCAAAATATTAAATACATGGAGTTCATGACCATCCTTTGTTTCTTCTGAAAGGGGATTCACAGTAGCACCTGTGAAGTTGGAGAGTGCCTGGAGAACACTGCTGTTCACTAGAGGCATACTTCAGTTTTGGGTTAGAGATCAGAAATCATCAAAAAACAAGACAAAAAATATCTGCTCAGTCAGAAAGCAAACCCTGCAATTTATACTGACTCAAATATGATGAAATGAGGAAGTGGTTCTTTGCAATTTCAGGTATGCGATTTAGGGAAGCTGAAATGTATTCATGTTGCTTCTAGTAAATATTCAAGGCATCCTGCAAATGATCAGTCGTCAACATTTTCCAAAAAAAAAAAAAACTTTAAAATATATCAAGCTAACTGGAATAAGTTGGTTGGGGGAGGGGGTTATGGAGTGTGGGCATCCTTAAACCTTTGCATATGCAAATATGGCCGCTGAGTGAACTGACTTTACTTGAAAGTGATTTTGGTAATAGACATTTTATGAAATGCAGGAAGAGACTGTATTGATGCAGAATCTTGCCACTTTACTCCAGTTTAATCAAGGATAACATATCAGTGTCAAACCAAACAAGTCCCATGCTGGTGGGAGAAAATTATAAGCAGATTATATTGAGATGTGTTGTTAATATGGTTGGCCAAATACGTGAGAGTTGGCAACCTTGCAGAGGCCAATGTTTGTAAGTAAAGTAGTTGAGAAACATGATGATCCAGAGCTGAAACCTGTCCGTATCTTGAAGAATGCATAGGATTTACAAAACAGGTACATATATATATATAGTTTTGTGCATGAAATAGATGCTGACAGTCAAATGTGCAGATAAAGAAGAGTCATGGTCAGGCAGATGAGGAAGCGTAGACATGGATGCAGCTCTTAATACTTTAATTTCAAAACAAAACAAAGGAAACCCACAAAGAGGAAGAAATGTCACTCTTTCAGTCAATGAAAAATTTGGTGTTTGGAAACCTCATCACAATGAGGAACATGGCAATGTCACAGAATGAGCTTGCAAATGTTGCCTGTGTTAGGCTTTTTGATGTGTACTACATTTCACACTGGATACACATTTAAGGTCTCTCTCCAGTGTGAAGCTTCATGTGAAGCTTAAGTTTTCCTTTAGGTTTGCAACTCTTTCCACACACTGGGCAGGTGTAAGACCTTGCTTTACTGTGAACGCTCATGTGAGTCTGAAAGTTTTCTTTAAATTTGAAACTCTTTCCACACTCATGGCAGTCGAAAGGTTTCTCTCCCATGTGAATTACCATGTGAACCTTGAGGGATCTTTTGTTTGTGAAACCCTTTCCACAGTGATCGCACATGTAAGGCTTCTCTCCAGTGTGTGTTATTACATGATTCCTCAGGTGACTTGGGTCTGTGAAACTCACTCCACACTGACGACATGTAAAACTCTCCAATCTTGAATGAATCTTCATGTGATTATTAACGGCTGCTTTATGGCTGAAGCGCTTTCCACACTGATCACATGAAAACGGCCTATCACCGGTGTGACTGTTCATGTGATAGTCAAGGCTTAGTTGTGCTGTGAAGCTCTTTCCACACAGTTCACAGCTGTAAGGCTTCTCTTCGGTGTGAACTCTCATGTGTCTATCAAAGTTTCCTTGCTGCGTGAAACGGATTCCACATTGAGGGCAGGTGATCGGCTTCTCTCCAGTGTGAACCCTCATGTGGACTTTAAGGTTTCCTTGATGACTGAAACACTTTCCACACTCTGAGCAGATGACACGATTTCTAATTCGAGTCTTCTGAGCTTTTTCTTGTGAGGGAGTCTCTTCAGTGTGTGAACAACTTGAAGACTTTTCTCCAGTACTGCAATCAAGTTTCTTATACCGATCTCTACTCTCCTCGATCAGCGCCATCAGGTCTAGGATGAAAAGAGACAAATACAAGTTAAACCCTGTTTAAAAGCAACAAAAGAGAGTAGCAATGGCCCAAATAACCCTACCATTTATTAAGGAGTGTCAAACTCAGCTTGTGGACGGTCACAGTCCTGCAGAGTTTAGATTCAACCTGCTCCAACATACCTACCTGTAGTTTATTTAGTAATTTTTGAAGACCTTGATTCAGTTGGAGTTGGAGCTAAAAAATGTGGGTTTGGGGCATCCCTGGTCTTAAATATTATAAAAAATATTGTTATTTAAACAATGTTCAGTTTTGCAGGTGTCCTGATATCAGTCAGGATCTAAGCCCCATTGTAAAACAGCAACTGTGCTTACTAAAGTTATATTTCTTCTAGAGCTATTAGATCTTCGACAGCATAGATCACAACATTCTCATGGATAGCTTGAGAATTACATAGGCAGTTGTGGACAAGAAATTAATATGGTTTATGTCCTAATATGATTATGACCACTTTGTTTGTGTAAATGAAGAGAGTCATCAAACACAAGTATGGAGTGGCGCAAGGCTCAGTATTAGGCCCTCTGCTTTTCTCCTTGTCTCTGTTTTCCCTGAGAGACATTATCATTAGATTTCACTGATACACCGATGACACAGTTTTGGATTTCCTCACAGTTTGAAGAAACACAAATTTCTAAGCTAACGGAATGTATTAAAAATATCAAATATGAGATGGTTGGTAATTTTCTTGCATTCAATTCTTTCTTTGGACTAAATTCTAAAATTGTATTTATCACACAGCCCTTCAGCTAGCTCATGTTAAACTGTTTTTCAAATGTGTCACCATACATGAAAGACACATAATAAGGGGCTTTTGCACCACATAGTTCTAGGAACTAGCCAGCAGGGTGGTTCCTAGAGAACCAATTTCTCCCTCGGGCCGTTTTCCTGGTTGCATTCGCACCAGCAGCAGGAACTCTGAAGGAGTTTACAAACGTTAACAACTGGTGAATGGAGGATGCCATGATCTGAGCTGTTTTTGTTGTGTGTCGCGGTTTCATGATAACGGAGATGGAATGTAAACACAATTTACGCGACTGAAAGAGCAAAAAGTTGTGCTAAGAGATTACATTTTCTATGACAACTTGCAGTGTTACAAATCATCGAGGCTGTGAAATGAACAACACTGCAAACAGGTAAATGCAGTTATCGCTGTTTTCCGTATTCGTGTAGTAAATATTTTTACACATCTTTTTAAAAATGTCGTGTAGCCGGTGTTTCGTATGCATTTGGCCAATCAGCTTAAACTTTCATCACTTGTAGTTCCTATAGAACTGATTTAGACCCTACTCTGAGCAAAATTAGCTTCTCCAAATGGAGTTCCTAGAACTAAAAACGTTCCTAGTTCCTGTGGTGTGAACGCCAAAAAGTGAGAACTTCCGCCAATAGTTCTAGGAACTATGAAAAGGTTCCTCCAGTGTGAAAGCCTTTATAGAGATGTATGATTTAATTTGGCCAGTCACAGTCATCTAGTAGGCAGTCACTGCTGTGGTTTGAATCGCTTGAAAAGTAGGTTGTGGATGTCTTCAAGATTGATCATGATATAAAATTGTCAGATCATCATATGAAAGCCATCCGGGATTCAGTTTGTATATGCAGTATGACAACATACAAATAAACTGTAAAGGGAGAATTAATCATTCTTTCTAGACAATTCGTTCAGTCACTCTTGCTTCACAGCAAGTGGCACTTGTGCTAATGGAAATTCCTTTTCACAGTCTTTATTTGCATTCATCAAAACTGATTTGCCAAAATCAAAACAAAGTGATTATCCTTCATGAGCCCAACATCCAGCCACACAAGAAAACATGCTATCTGATTAAAGACGTGATCAAAAAGACAAGTTGTCTTTCACTATTTTAAGTTAATGTTGTTAAATAGAAAAAAAATACACATTTTATAAACTGAATAAATAATAAACTGTAAATGTGTTCAGCATTCTACAACAAATATTTCTTTGATTTTCTTGACAATGTTGAGTCATAAAATGCGCAGGATATATTAAAAGTCATCGCAAGCTTCGGCAGGCAAGTAAAATGATACTAAGTGGGGCAGTCGTGCTGGTGTCCTCCCGAACTCAACTGCGCCCCACAAATTGTACACTGTAAATCTGTGGTGAAAAGTGGAACTGCAGCACACTCTAATTGAGAGCCATTTGGGCAGTTTTGAGACTGCCCCGCTTATTTTCACATTACCTAATCTTGCTCCAGACCAAGATAATATCAGTCAGCTTTAGCTGTATGTGTCTGCATCAGGTCAGTTACTAGCTGGCATATCTGTTTGTCCTATGTGGAGTAGTGGTTTAAGTAAGGGATAATCAACGGTTTGCCGTACATTAAAGGATTTTAAATGCACGACGTGGAGGCCAAGAACCACCTGAAGCGGAAAATGGTGGCCTCCGCGAAGTGCATTTAAAATCCTTTAATGCACGGCAAGCCGTTGATTATCCTGCTTATTTAATGGTCATTTGCCAAGTTGTAGACAAGTTAAAACTAGTATTGCTCTTTGTAGCGCAATATTTGACCGAATGGGTAAAAATGACGTCAGTTACGGCTCGTGAGCGCTAGCATTCTGTCCTCTTCAAATCAGACACAGAGATGAAATAGTGCGATAAGATCACATTTATTTGAATGAATTATAGCATTTATTTAAATTAATTATCGATCGAGAGAGAGAGAGAGAGAGAGATGCATTACCTGCGGCTTGCTCTACAAACAATTAATTAGGCTACTTCAAAAACAGCGATTCTACCACCTCATTGGCTAATATAATCTAGCAATCTAATATCTAGGCTATTTTATTAATAAAAAAACGCAGGGAAGCGTTAACAACAAGTTTGTGTGTGTGCGAAGCGCAATTTGCAATCTCCGACCTCCCTCTCTCTGCGCGTGCGTGTGTGTGTTTATTTGTGTGCGAGTGATGTGTGTTGGTTAGTGTGCATCAGTTAAAGCAGCGCATTAATATAGAACAGTGATTAAACTGACTTGGAACTACCTGTGCATTAAACGGTTTTACTGCATACCTGCCAGCCAATCAGAGTCAAGTATTCAGACAGACCATGGAATAAATGATTGAAAGTGTTAATCATTTAGTTTAAATGTGCTCACGTGAAAATCCTTTATATAGTTTTGTTGTGTTTGTTTTATGTTTGTTTTGAGATGAGACATGATATTCATTTTCAAATTCCACTACAACTTGTAACATTTTAAATCACCTTTCGGAGACAATATTAAGACAATTATTCTATGGTATTCTATTTGTGTGTACTTCGAGCCTTTCAATCAACATTATAACGTAATGACATTAGATCTCTGCCAAAAGTGTGTGTGCATTAGGGGTGTTGAAATTAATCGTAGTGCTGGGTGGTATACCGGTTCATACCGAATACCGGTGATTATTTTTCGCTTAAACAATGTTTGGAACGCGGCATGGTGCGACGGGGTCCCTTTTCACTGTGCTGAGGGCACAGCTGTATTACTAAGCTGGACGGTGAAACAACCCTCTACAATGCGAGTAAATCACTCGCATATGCGACTAAATCCTCACTTCGGGCGACTAAATGATGTCTAATATTAGCCAATGGCTAATAAATTCTCAGGTTCTACTCGCCAGTGTGTGAGATGGAGGCCGAGTATAAGTTTAGCACAGATATATTTTCACTCACCGAACACACTAACAGAGCGCTTCAGAGTTTCATTCTCTGTGATCTTTGCTAATTTTCAGTTCATCTGAATGGATGCGCAGCGCACCTGTGTTTGACGTACCATAAACTCTAGTGTAACGTCTCACACACACGCAAAGAAAGAGACAGCGAGAGAGTCTTACATAACAAGCTTTTAAGAACTGGGTTCTGCGGTAGTGGGCGGAGCTAATGCGCAATCGGCAATCTCATTGGCTGGCGCTCACCTATTATCGTCCCCGTTTTGTTTTTAGCAAATCAATTCGAGCGAACGCACACAAAGTGATTAATATTCATGAACCCAGTAGGTCATTAATGCTTAGTGCATTTTATATTGTTATTAGTAGTAGAATTCGTAGTATTATTGTTGTTATCTTATCAGTACTGTTTTTAGTTTTTTCCTTTTTTTATAGAAACACTAAATGACAAACAATATCTAAAGCACCACCACATCATTTAAAATGACAATTTATTTCTAAGTCAATCTATTGCAATATTTCCTCTCTCAATCAGTAGAAAATGTGGTTAACACCCGGTCATGCATGGAAAAAAAAAAATACCGTCATGTACCGTGAAACAGGCATAACTTTGAAAAATACCGTGATATAAATTTTTGGTCTTACCGCCCAGCATTAATTAATCAATTATGGTCTATTACTACATTGATGCATCGCGATGCGGATGTGGACGATTCTGCATCAATAAACGTAATCGATTATAGCCTACTGACATCGTTCGCATACGCGCTTGTCACGCGAAAATTAAAAAATGCACTCTCTATTTTTAAATTCGAGATCTGGGCACATTTTTGGAAAAAACAAGTTTACATTGGCACGTAGGTCCGCTAGAGACAATCGCGGCGGGCTTCATTGCACATATGCACGGTGTGATACGTGTGCGCATTGCTTGACTTCTGCTTCCACCCGCCGCTATTTCAGTGTTTTACTTTAGCTATCCTTTCATTTCTGCCGTTTGGAATGCAGTAGGTATAATATAATTTAATAAAAATGCACAAAATAAATTTGATATAATCGTCATGCACTGTGACACCGAATTGAATCAAATCGTTGACATGATAATCTTAATCGAATCGCGATTCACACCCCTATTGTGCATGTGTTCAGCGATTAGACTATAAAAACCATAAGCTTTCTTGAGTTTATTATAAGCCATATGGCCCGGAATCCGCCCAACCTACACTTACGGTCAGGAGCCGCTACTGACTGAAACACAAAATGACCAAGTCTCAAGCACCAAAAGCAGCCCATACTAATTCTCCGAGTTCTCTTTAATTGAAAAATATGCTTTTTCATTCGATCATGGTTGCAGTATTTTAGTTCAAATTTTTAATTGCTATTGTTTTAATAAAAAAAAAATGCTGTATTGACTGAAGTTTTGTAGATGCTCAGTTGTTATGCTTTTTAAATGTTACGCTATTTGTATGCATCCATGTATTTTCAATGACACGGTCTACACTGATCAGTGGATACATGCGTTTTAGCCTGAAATGTATAAAGCACTTATTTAATTCTTGGCAGCTGTAATAGTTAACGCATAGGAAACATTTTTTAAAGAATTTCACATACAGAACTAATGCCATATGCAAAGATGAGACTCAATCACTTACAGACAGCCAATGTTGATTGGTAATATTTTTTGGTTTGCCTTTCAAAACTTTTTTCCTTCTAATGTTTTTTTATTATTATTATTTTAGATTTAATGTTACACTCCATCATTGATTTGTTTGGGCTAATTCTCTTATTATTTTTCGTAATTTAATGCATGACATGGTCATGTGATCTCATGTCTGTCCACATGAAGAGACCCGCTCCATGTCTAATAAAACCACTTTAATTATGACACTCACATTACATCTTTCAGAAATATCATTAATTTCTACAGATTTAAATAAGGATCAAATGAGTGAGTTCAGCTTTGATTATTAAAACCAACCTATATCTTCATCAGTATCTTCAAGCTTCACTCCAAATGTTTCTTCTATCTTTATGTCTTCAGTCTCCTCTTTAATAAACGCCATCTTTGTAATAGGATCTCTGTGTGTTTAAGATGAGAATAATTAGCAGAAAAACAAATGAATAAATAAATAACAATGCAAACTAAGTCTCTGGGTGTGTTTCAATCAGCTCACTAGTTCAGTGCACTGTAAGGCAGTAGGAATGATAGTTAATGGTCTTTAATGACCTGATTAACCACAACTTGTTTATGATAAACTGATTTTACAAAACGGAGCGAAATGAGACGCACCCTTTCCGTTTCTAATGCGCGGGATGCGCTCTACTCACACAAAATAACAAGCGTTAATGTTAGACGAGGCATTACAATGTTACACTTAATAACAATGAAACCATTTTAAATTGTGCTTAAATGGATTGCGTTCATTTAAACACTTCAAACGCTTAAGAACACAAACCTGCCTTCAGTCGAATCACAACAAACTGCCGGAGCGCGGCGCAGTCTTATGACGTCACATCGCCACACCAAAATAAAAGTCCCGTTCACTCGCGCACAAAAATAGAGGAATTCAGGGTTGCATTATTGGTAAAATACATATTTAAATACACGTCGTTCAATCGTGTGCTGATACTAAGAACTACCAAAGAAATTGTGTGAGATTCTGTCTAAATGGCAAAAAAATATAATGTGACGTAATGAAATGTAACCGTTTATACTAGATAATAATGCAATGTATGCAATAAAAGAATTACTGATAACAGTTTCAGACTAATTAAAAATGATTTTTAATCAAGTTATATAGTGATCCACCGCTCAGCGAGTGAACACAGACACAATTTACACCTGCTGAACATCACAGAACGCTCTGGAGTTTTCCTAAAAATGAAAAAAGAAAAAATATATATATATATTTTAATGTTGCTTATTTTACAGGATATCTGGAGCTTTAAATGGGACCTACTATGCCTCTTTTTATAAGCTGTATGTAAGTCTCAGGTGTCCCCAGAATGCTTTGCCAAACATCTGAAATATGTTTTTCTGAGCACACCAAGGCAACCTCCCGCTCTCTCTCGTGAAGCCAACAAGGAAGTGACTTAAACTGTAATTCATCAACTGGCCGCTAGAGGCTGGCTGCAAAAGGGAGTCAGTCCCATAGACTCCCCATGTTAAAATGCCCAACTTTACAGCAGCAAAAAATGTTTACAGTCTGGTACAAAAAGTGGTTTTGGTCTATATAGCTAATTTTGCCCTTCATGACAACTGTGAGGGGGGTGAATTTTTTTTATAACTCATCCGTTTAAATTATATTAAGCCTTAAAGTTCTGCATAATTAAAGGCGTGGCCACTTGAGTGACAGGTGGATTGCCGCTGCTGTCACCACCGTCGAGCTAGGTGGGCGTGGTTTCAGCAACCAGCTCCCGCCTTTTTGCCCATCTTCACGCGGTGACAGACTGCCAAGATGGCGACGGCCGGCTCCGCCCACTTTGAGTTTCAAAAACCTCTTCAGGAACCTACGGGTGACGTCACGGACACTACGTCCATGTTTTTATACAGTCTATGGAGCACACACATAAAACGCATGCACAGAAAGCCAGCTCTTTCAATGTAAACTGTCACAAATACACAAGGGGTCGTGTCAAAAACACACAAAGTACACATAAACACAGCTGGTTGTCTGTGAATGTAAACAGCTGGCAAAGAAATCGCATGTGCGTAGTATATATCAGTATATTAGATCTGTGAAACAGCATCTCTTGACAACACACTACTATAACACAAATCAAGGGCGTGTAAGCTCCGCCCACTGGTCCAACGACGACAGCCAATGGCGCGGCAGAAGGATTCTTGCGTGATGCCGTCTTTCCTTTTACGCGACAATATTAGATTAAATATATTTTCCTAAATACATTACCTCTTTAATTCATCTGACTCCAAAATGAAAAAGGTTTTTAACTTTTACATTTAGTCATTTAGCAGACGCCTTTATCGTGGTTTTTAACCTGGTCATTCCACTAGGAGGGAACGTTTAATGTAATTCAACACTAAAGTATTTTTTATTTGATGTATTAAATAGCAGTGCTCAGTTGCTGAAGTTTGGCACGTTCTTACTCAAAAACACATGGTGATCCACATGTTCAGGTTTCCAGAATTGTGCTATAATAACCCCTACAAATACAATTACTTATACACACTATAAACACTAAAAGAGACAGACACGTAGATATTTGTGAAAGATGTTTTCTCTGTTTTGGAGGGATGATCATTTTAAAATCGCATCCTATTGCATCAAAATTTGTTAATACTTTACTATAGTTAGGGGTGGATCATTTTATCAGCTGTACATATATACATATTACTGTTATAGTTTTTATTAATAACCATTGCTATATAGCTGTGTCAACGGGACTTTTATTTTGGTTTTGTGGCGTGACGTCATAAGGCTGCGCTCCTGCATCTGTTGTGATTCGGATGAAGACAGGTTTGTGTTTTTAAGCATTTAAAGGGTTTAAATAGATATTAATCGTTCAGTCAATTTGGCAGCAACTGTAAAATGAATTAGTTGTTATTGCGTGTAGCATTGCAATGCTTTATCTAACATTAATAAAGGATATGTTGTGCTTGTAAAGCTCAGGAGGCGCAGAAAATGTGCGTCTCGTTTCGCTCGGTATATCGTGAATCAGTTTATCGTGAACACGATTTCAGTCACTGGCCCATAGAGATGATGGAGAAACGGAGCTTTTCCAAACTACGAGTCAACTGAATCAAATGCTGCTTGAAATGATTCAGTGATTCGAATCAGCGCGCGCTGACGGCATCTGCTGCTCAAAACAGTGTAAATGCAGCGAAAACAACAAACACAAACATCTGTAATGACAACTTTTACAAACAATATCAAATATTTTAATGAAAGCAGAATCTGTTACATATGATCTACAAATCTATATATACAGAATGTAAACCATAAATGCCTTAATTTGTTTTATTTCATTAATTTGTAGCTAGTTTGAGATGTTTTAGGCCATTAACTCTCTCACTATGACTGAGCTAATTGAGACACAACCAGAGATTTAGTTTGCATTTATTTTTCTTTCTGTTAATTATTCTGATCTTAAACAGGACAAAGTGTTCAAACACACAGAAAAACTCCTGCTGAAGAGACTGAGACACATGTGACACACTGTTATAAAGATGGAGTTTATTAAAGAGGAGAGTGAAGACGTGAAGATTGAAGAAACATTCAGAGTCAAACATGAAGATACTGAGGAACAAACAGGTTGGTTTGCATTCTCAAAGCTGAACTCACTCATTTGATCCTTATTTAATATCCAGCTCTACAGAAATGAATGATGTTTTTGAAGAGTGTCATATGAGTGTCTCAGGCATCCCACCCTGCAAAACCTCAATTCAGGGAGGTATCACAAGCAACAAATCATGAAATGTAGTTGAATATGTTTTCAGCTTTGTCATCATTGCAAACTGGCATGTCTACAAAATCAACAAACTTAATAATACATTTTTTGTCACATAAGGGCCTTTCGCACAGCTTTAGTTCCAGAACTAAATGTACAGTACTAAAGTACTGGGACGATTTTGCGGGAACTATTTCCCAGTACCATTTAAAGGGTTGCATTCGCACCGAGAGTGTGTACTAAGAAGTGACGTAAGCCGGTCGACAGCGACGTCATTTGTGCGCGGCGTTCAACAACAGAAACAAAGAAGAACAACATTAACAACAGGAGGATGGAGGACGCTGTGATCGGAGCTGTGTTTTTGTTGTGTCTCGCGGGTTTCACAATAATGGACATGGAAAGTCGACGTATACGTAAAGCGATTGAAAGAACGGAAAGGAGGACTAAGAATCTCCAACGACAACTGGCAGTGCTACATTTGCTACAAGTGCCTGCACTTCAGCGTCCGTCCATCTATCGCTGTTCTCCATACCTGCGAAATAAGTTGACACAATGTTTACAGTATGTTTACACAGCGTTTTAAATCATGGCGGGTGAGGGCGTTTTCATACGCGTTTGGCCAATCAATGTCTACTTACGTCACGATTAGTACCAGTTGTGCTGGTTAGACCCTGCTCCGGAGTAGGAGCTAATTTGGTTCTCGAAAAAGGCAGTCCGGTACTAAAATCGCACCCAGTTCCGGTGGTGCGAAAACGCCAAAAAGTGGGTAGTTCCACAATTAGTTCTGGTACTATGAAAAGGTTCCCGCGGTGCGAAAGGCCCTATAGAAATGCATTTGAAAGTATTTTGAGCTAGAATGCAGAAAATTTAATTCTGTCATCATTTCCTAACCCTCATGTCATTCCAAACCCGTATGACTTTCTTCTGTGGAACACAAAATAAGATATTTTGTAGAATGCTACCAAACCATTTTGGTTACCCTTGAATTCTACTGTAGGGATAAAAATGTCTTGAATTTCTCAAATTATCTTCTTATATCTTCCACAGAAGAAATAATTTTACACATGTTTGGAATGACATCATGGTGAGTAAATTATGACACTTTTTGGGTGAACTATCCCTTTAAGACATGTAATATTTGTAAATAGTTAACACCTAATTTATATAAGACATCATTTATCTTTAAAAAGGCTATTATTGAATTAACATTTTACTTCATTTAAAGAGAAAGACGCTCTTAAAGGGATAGTTCACCCAAAAATTCTGTCATTAATTACTCACCCTCATGTCGTTCTAAACCCGTAAGACCTTCGTTCATCTTCGGAACACAAATTAAGATATTTTTGTTGATTAATTTTACGAAGCTACGAGAATACTTTTTGTGCACAAAAGAAAAAAAAACGACTTTATTCAACAATTCGTCTCCTCCACCCTAGCGCCATTTTGGAGAATATCCACTGAACGCAAACAGCGTATGCCGTTCTGTGTCTGTGTTTTGCACACAAAAGTATTCTCGTAGCTTCGTAAAATTACGGTTGAACCCCTGATGTCACATGGATTATTTTACCGATCTCCGTGCTACGTTTCTGGACGTTGATCATGGTAATTACATTGCTGTCTATGGGAGGGTCAGAGAGCTCTCAGAATTCATCAAAAATAACTTAATTTGTGTTCTGAAGATGAACGAAGGTCTTACGGGTTTGGGACGACATGAGGGCGAGTAATTAATGACAGAATTTTAATTTTTGGGTGAACTATCCCTTTAAAGCTATTCCAGTAAAGTATCCTTTGCCCTAATGAAGTTCTTGTATAGTTTAACTGACTAGTATTAGTAAGAAGTTGGTCACAACAAGTAAAACCATGGTTCTCATTACCATAGTTATATGGTTTTAAAAATAAATAAAACTAAATAAACTATGGAATTTAAAAAACAAAAAAACACATTAAACATGTAGAAACTACAAAAACAACTTTTATGAAAGTAAAATATTCCCCAATATTAAACAGTAACATTCAGAATAAATACATTTTTGCCAAAACACTATAGGTTGTTTGTACAATGTTAATAACTGCAAGTTAAAGGGGTCATTGGATGCGACATGCACTTTGCACACAAGCTGTTTAAACTGAAATGTGTGTTGGCAGTGTGTGTACACAACCACCCTGTAATTATAAAGATCCACCCAGTGTTTTTTTTTTTATCTCGTTAAAGGGGTCATATGATGCTTTTTTAAAGATCATTATTTTGTGTATTTGGTGTAACAGAATATGTTGACATGCTTTAATGTTCAAAAAACACATTATTTTTCAAATACTGTACATTATTGTAGGTCTTAAATCATTTCCCCTTTCTCAAATCGAGCCGATCTCAGATGATCTCAGGCCCCTCCCACGATAGTTTGATTGACAGTAGCGTTTTACCTTAGCTCCGCCCTGAGTGAGCTGTCATCAGTCCGCCATTGTTTCACCGCCGGAGCAGATGTAGACAAGAATGACTCCTAAGAGATTGAGGTGTTCTGTTGTTGGATGTAATAATGAACATAGCAGTCGTCATTAGGGGTGCGCCGATCCGATATTCAGTATCGGTATCGCTCCGATACTGGTATTTTCTGCCAGATCGGGGTATCGGTCAGACAAGACATTCTGCATATACTATTCTGTGTTATTGTTAAGCCCCACGAAAGCCACAAAAACATAATAAAGCACCATAAAGTTTAAGTGCACTATATTCCAAGTGTTCTGAAGCCGTTCCACAGTTTAATGTGAGGTACAGATGAATATTTAAGTCAAGTTGACGTAAACTCTTCTCTCCGCTGCGGCAGTCTGTCATGATCCATTCAGCGTTCAAACTACGTGTCGCGTTCAGTTACAACAGTCAAGACGATGAAACCCTCTCCAAGATGATTTAACGTTCCTAATATTATACTTGATCTGTAAATAAAGATAAATGGTTTTTGCATAAAAGGACTTTATCTTTCTGGAGTTTCGTTTTGTTTCTAAATCGTGTTCATTTCTACCGTGTTAGATCACAACACTGGAGAGCACTATGAATTGTTCTTCACGAGCACAGCAACTGAGATTTAAACGTGTTAAAAGAAAAGGCTCAATAAACTATTGAACAGATTTAATACACTATGCATCAATAGGGCTTTTCACACTGTGCTTAACCCCGGGTAAAGAAAGGTTTCACACCTGTAATTTGAAAGTGGTGTTAGCACCGCTTTTTACCCAGGGTTATGAAACCCTGCTCCGGAGCAGTTTCACCGCATTTGCAGTATTTCCCCCACATTGCAGTGCTAAGTTTGTTCAGTGTGAAAGGGAGCGGTGTTTGCTTGTTGCTCAGAACTTGAGCAGCGAGGCTCAAGTCACGTCAGTAACAGGAAACGCGCGTCGTGTAAACAGCAGCCGGTGAGAGAAAAGTAAGAAATGTCAAAAGACGGAAAGCGTGTTTACTTGAGTGATGAGGAGATGCTATTATTTTTAGTTAATTCTAGTCTCTCCACACTTAAAAGAAATTCAAAGAAATATTCAAATACTTTGCTCCTTGTTTTCTTTCTTTTGTACTTTTGTCTTTTTTTCTTGCCTTTGTGCGTCTCATGAGTGATACTGATTTAATTTGCTTGGAAACAGCCTAAATGTTGTATTCTGATTGACACTTCAATGTAAGAATTTGACTCGAAAGACGATGCACACTTTTAGAAACAAATGGCTTTATAAAGGTAGAAGTGCTCATAAAAGTAAAAAAAAAAAATCTAATTAAACTTATTGGAAAATAATCATTTCTATCACTGCTGTGAACTGACCACACAGAATAAGAAGAATATCAAAAAACTTTAGGAGTCAGCTGTCCACGGCAGTCCTTAAGATAGCACAATCACACACTCAGCAAAATATTGTCTAATTATTGTTATCGTTAAAATCACAGAAAATTGAGATATAATTTATCAATTTCGCACACCCCTAGTGGGTACCAGGAAAACAGTGTGCACCTTAGCTTTATGTGATGAGATGCAGATGTGCTGGACAATGGAGACTCCAAAGATCATAACATTGGATTCAGTTTTACAAAGAGGGGTGGAGGGGTTCCTGTTGGTCAGGGGTGGCAAACGTCGGTTCAGGAGAGCCGCAGCCATGCAGAGTTTTGCTTCAACCCTAATCGAAAACACCTGAACAATATAATCAAGGTCTGAAGGGTTACCAGGAAGCTGCAGGCAGGTGAGTTTTATTAGGGTTGGAGCTGAACTCTGCATGACAGTCGCTACGTTCACATGCACAATTTTTGGTTCAATTGGACTGAATTCATTCCGATTGATGAATCTGAATGTAGTGTTTACATGAACGCTAAAGAAAGTGATCGGGTTGATGTGCGTGTTTATATGTCACAAGCTTCAAATCGGAATGTTTTTTTTTTTGACATGCGCACACTGCACAAATATAGAGTTTCTCACTGTTGGCACATAATAACCACTCTCCTACTTTAGGTTAGTGGTTTCTTTATTTCTTTCTAACAGCAGAATTAATATTTATCCATTTATGGATAAATAGTACATATAAACCGCTGTGCCGTGCTGCTCATAGAATCCAAAACAAGGACTGGTGGGAGGTTGTCCTGCTCCACTTCACAGTTGCCGAGTGAAAGGAGAGTTTTATAAAGACAGGACACGCATTTATACAACACTTTATTCAAAAGGAAGAACTGCTCGTTCCGCGCGTCATACGTCATAACGCTATTTCTGCGTCATTGCACATGTGCAGTCCTTTCAGTTTCGGGGTTCAATCCGATCGAGTGTTTACATGCACTCTCAATCGTATTAGAAAAGGAATAAACCACCCCCTTCAATCCGATCGAAATTTCATTCCGATCGAGCTCAATCGGATCGATTAAGGTGTTTACATTAAGCATTTTCAGTCCGATTGAGCCATCAATCCTATTACAAACGGATTATTTGGTTGCATGTAAACGTAGCCTGTGACTCTCCAGGACACCGCTGCTGTTGGTAATCTTGAAGAGTGGGGAAGGGTTAGAGGTTCTCACCCAGGGTCTACTACACCGCTTCCACTGCTGGTGCACCCAGGGTCCATAATGTGTTAAACCGGAGTGAATGAGACCTGGGAGGCTCACATCCTGGAGCGTCAGCCTGGGATGTTTCCAACATGGCTCTCTGCTGTTGCAGCTCCAGAAGGTTATGAATCTGCTTATCAATGGCCTTCAAAGTGTAGCTCTAACATGCACAAATAAACGATATATTTGTCATTATAAGCATTGGTAAACAAAAGTAAACAGAGTGAGAAGAATATAAACAAGACTGGTGGTAACTGGCTAAAGTGATGCTAACAAGCTATGAGCCCGTAGCAGATGTTCAGTGATCAGATAAAAACTGTTTTGATCTCTAACATTGATTATAGGAAACCGGAAGTGACGTATCTCCCTTATAAAGTAATATGTATACCTACTGAATAACTTCATTTACAACTTCATTGAAAATTGTGCCAAAATACACTGGTCCTCATAGATGGACGGTTTCGATTTTGTCAATTTCTGTGGTCCATAAGACTCTGTGCACTTCTGACAAAATTGATGCCAGAAGACCTAGTGTCGTGTAAGCTCTCTAGCCACTGCATTTTAACAACTTATAACTTATTTGTTGACCTTGCAGCATTTCTAACATGTAAGAAGGATGTTATACAAAATCAGAATTGAGAATTTACATTTTTCCATAGAAAGAATTAAGTACATGAAAATTACTAGACAGTTTTTTTTATATTTTTAATACACTCTGTTAACTTGGAAAATTGTTGTTTCCTCAGGTTGTGATGAAATTATAAAACTGTGTTACTGGTGTGAAATCTAATGAGAATGTCTCTCAGAGGACCTGTATATAAATGAAAAACAGAGGACCTAATACGGAGCCCTGTGGCACTTTATACTTGTTTTTGATTAGATGTTTCTTTGTTTACACAAAGTGGTAGCAGTTGGATAGATAGGACATAAATAATACTAATTCTTGTCCAAAATGCCTACACAATTCTAAAGCTATCCAAGAGAATGTTGTGGTCTATGTTTTTGAAGATATAATAGCTCTAGGAGAGATATGTTACTTTAATGAGCAGTTTCCATTTTAAAATTGGGCTTAATCCTGACTGATATTGTTCACAAATACAGTTTCTCTGCAAAACTGAACATTGTTAAAAAATAGGGGTGCTCCGATTGATCGGCTACCGATCACTATCGGACAATAATCGCTTTGGGATGTTTGATCGGCGATCTCTATAAAGGCCGATCTCAAAAAAACGATCTCAAGCTGATGACGCACCTGCCTTGAGAGATTTGGCTTTACATGCAGCAGCACAGTCTCTGTCCGGCACGGGTGAAATAATTATAATGCTGAAGGTGAGGTACAATTCATATTTCTTCATTAAACAACTTATAAAGTAATTTGAAAACCTTCTGTGAGACATAATTTCACAAACAGCGTGAGTGAATCACCGCGCGCTCTCTCTTTCTCTCTCAAAATGCGCAAATGGCTTTAAATCACATCGCGTCTGCACTATAAGCGAGCTGCACAGTTGACACAGGAATTGTCACTTGCACAGTCAAGACAGTGTCGCATCGTCACTAAATTTTATAAATTGCATTTATTTTAATTCTTGCAAGTGTTTAAACTATTCAGCGCTCGCGCGCTCTCCTGGAGACCGTGCACTCATGCACACTCGCAGCGCGCACACATAATGCCAGATTCACATTACTCCGTTTGCAGTACGTATTTTTTCCACGCTCATGTTAACGGATTAAAGCGTTCACACTGCACACGGTTGCGGTCGGGCAGTGCGTTACAGGAGCGGTGCGTCTGCAGCAGTGCAGCGGTCGTTTCCGCGCCGAGTCTATTTTTGCTGTTCTGCAAGCAAGAATTAAAGTAACAGTGCATTGTTTGTGGTAAATATGAACATGGATTGACACGAAAATGTAGTAATTACACCATAAAAGCATATAATTAAAGTCTACTGTGTTTCACAGCCAACACATAGGCTATGGCTGTTTGGCTAGGTTTAAAGGAAAAGAGCACTTTTACAACTATAACGACATGTGAATAATCCCGCCCACTCTAAAGTGATACTGAACTGCAGTGGAAACGCTAACCGAGCCGAGCCATGCCGCGCCGAGTCGTACCATGCAGTGGAAAAGCACCATTTGATAAACAAGGCAATAATAGATGGCACTCGTGGAGGTAGTAAAACAAAGTTCTTTATGAACCGCAGGATTGCTTGTAAGAAAGAATTAAATGCAAAAGAAAAGGCAGTAGAGTTGACTGTTTCTGTCAATGGTAAGTTTTAGTTTAGAATGTTTGTGATAATGTAAGAAAAGTAGTTTAAATGTTTTGCCACTTGCTTGAGCAACTTAATATATCAATCTAGAAGTAAATGCAAAAGTAAAAAGCATTGAATAATGTGTTTCTTATATTTATTGTGTTTAAACACGTCTATGAAAGATTGTATTACTGTACTGTGTAAAAAAAGAATCATAATGCTGAGAAAGCATTTTAAGTAACAATGTTTGGATTTGAAATCTAAATAATTGATAAATGTTGTGTTTGTAGTAAACAGCCATGGATTAGTTGCAGACTCCTGCGTGAAAGCACAGCCCGTGCTGCTTCTGCGCTGCTTACGTAGCCCACATGGACTGCATACGCACTGCAAACGGAGAATGTGTGAACCTGGTGTAAAAGGCCGCCTCACATACAGCTCATGAAATCAGGCTTGCGCTGTGTGTAAGGTATTGTGCCACAATTGCACGATTGTCAAAACCAAAATGCAGTGCATGATCAAACATTTTGAAAAATGTCTAAAAAATACCCCTTTCCACCCCTCAAATTAAAAAAAAAATTCCCTCTCACAAGAGTCACCTAAGAGGGGAATTCATTTTCAAAAAATTAAATTCAGGCCCTGAATAAATGTCTAAAAATCTTGATTGGATCATCACTATAAATAATTCTATATGATAAAAAGAAGACTTTTAAAAAGATCGGTATCTGTGATCGGTATCGGCAGATACTGCTTTCTGTGATCGGCAATCGGTGATTGGCCTCAAAAATCCTGATCGGAGCACCCCTATTAAAAGAACAATATTCTTTTAATGTTTTAGACCAGGAATGTCAAGCTCACAGCCCTGCAGAGTTTAGTTCCTACTCTAACTGAACACACCTGAATCAAGGTCTTCATTACTTGAAAACTAAAGTAGATGTTGGTAAGCGATAGAGCAGGTAGGAACTAAACTCTGCAAGACTGTGACCCTCCACAAGCTGAGTTTGACCCCCCTGTTTTAAACATTAATGGCTAATTATGGCATAACTATGTTAACTTGTATTTATCTTTTTTCATCCTAGACATGATGGGGCTGCAAGAGGAAAGTTTAGAACTGAATGACATACGAGATAAAAATCGGTATGAGAAACATGATTTCATAACTGGACAAAAATCATTTAGTTGTTCACACACTGAAAAAACTTCTTCACAAAAAAGAGCTCAAAACACTGGATCTAGAGGTCATTTCACCTGCCAAGAGTGTGGACAGAGTTTCGATCAACAAGGAAACCTTAAAATCCACATGAGGATTCACACTGGAGAGAGGCCTTACACCTGTGAACTGTGTGGATATAGTTTCATTCAAAAAGGAAGCCTTACCAGGCACATGAGGATTCACACTGGAGAGAAGCCATACACCTGCAAACTGTGTGGAAATAGTTTCATTCGAAAAGGAGACCTTAAAAGCCATATGAGAATCCACAGTGGAGAGCACTCTTACACCTGCCCTCAATGTGGAAGGAGTTTTACACACAGACAAACTCTTAATGCCCACATAAGAATTCACACAGGAGAGAAGCCTTTTACCTGCCAACAGTGTGGAAAGAGTTTCTCTCAATATGGAAACCTTAAAGTCCACAAGAGGATTCATGATGGAGAGAGGCCTTTCGTTTGTCAACAGTGTGGAAAATGTTTCATTGAACATGGAACTCTTAAAGTCCACATGAGGATTCACACTGGAGAGAAGCCTTTCACCTGTCAACAGTGTGGAAAACGTTTTTCAGTAAAAGGAACCCTTAAAAGGCACATGAGAATTCACACTAGAGAGAAGACATACACCTGCTAACCAGAGGTGTCATGCCCATTCAAACCGAGGGGGGCAAGTGCTCCCGCAGATTTTTGAGCCAAGTGGATTGAGCCAAGCAGAACAATATTTTTTATATTTGATACAATCACAGGTGTGATCCAAAACGTTCAGTGTGTTCACCAAAATCTAAAAAGAGAGAATCACTAGAGACAGATGCGTTTTTACAGTGCTACGCGTTATAACAAGTCACACACGATTATGCCTTAAAAGGCACATGAGAATTCACACTAGAGAGAAGACATACACCTGCTAACCAGAGGTGTCATGCCCATTCAAACCGAGGGGGGCAAGTGCTCCCGCAGATTTTTGAGCCAAGTGGATTGAGCCAAGCAGAACAATATTTTTTATATTTGATACAATCACAGGTGTGATCCAAAACGTTCAGTGTGTTCACCAAAATCTAAAAAGAGAGAATCACTAGAGACAGATGCGTTTTTACAGTGCTGCGCGTTATAACAAGTCACACACGATTATGTTACGTTTATGAATGTAATGGCCAATCAGAGTCGTTCAGATGAGTCGTCGCCGAAGCGCTGGTGTTTTGTTCAGTGCACGTGCTCACTGAATTAATTCTGCTCTATGGCGAATTCTCTCATCAGAAACAACAAAATGCAGATGTGCGTACAATGTAAGTAAGAGATTCAGGGGGAGAGGGGGGTTCGGTCCCCCGCCATCTGAGGGTTGTCCCCCCTAAAAATATCATTACAAACCACTCTGTGAATTGTAAATAATATAATGGACATATACTTAAAATAATTGTGTAAGTAGTAAAACAATATAAATGCAAAATTGTAAATAATATAATGGACATATACTTAATATAATTGTGTAAGTGTAGAACAATATAAACACAAAAAAAGCTTTTGAGTCCCCCCTCCCTCACAGTGGTTTGGTCCACTGCCTGCTTTCCCCCTTTACCTCACCGATACACACGAGTCCGGTTGAGAGTTTACAAACCCTCACACATTCATATGTGACTCTGGCTTTAATAAATCACTTCAGGGCTCAGGAGATATATATTTACAAGTCTCTTTGTTGGAACGTAGTCACAACAGCAGTTGAATAGTTTTGTTACAAACTTCTTAAACGCAAGCTTCTATTGATTGCTCTCCTCCACACAACCAATCTGACCCTCGCCCATGACTACTGATGAGCACTGGGCCGGAGTGAGACTCATTTTCAGCCCTGGAGTTTCATGCCTTAAAGCCTCATACGCCGACGTTTAACGCCTCATGACTAAACAAAGGACGCCAATGTGAGTGTGCACACCGACGCGCAAAACGTGATAATCGTCCCGGTGTGCACGGGGCTTTAGACCGGCAAAATTATGTAATTAAAACCTCAGTATGTAAGTCTGCAATAGTGCACTGTTCTCTACAACCTTGTAATTCATTGTATTTTTCGATAGCTTTCGTTTTGATGTAAAGATCTTAACTTAAGAAATGAAAAATAAGGGACAATTGTAATAATAAAAAAAAAAAGGAAATAAGCAACAGAATAAGAGACACTCAAAATATTTGTACTGTACCATAATGTATGCCTGCCTGCAGTTAAAAAGTTCCCAGAATAAATCACATTTGTTTTGCTTAACCCATTTATGTATAATTATTCTAAAAAGAATTTTAATGTCATACAAAAAATGTCATCGGCCTGAGTAAATTGTACAATTATAGAATGTGAATGCACAAGTTGTGTAGTAATTTAGGAGGTTAAAATACTGTGAAATAACATACAAATGGCATGAAATTTGAAAGCATAACAACCGAACATCTATGAAACTTCAGTCAATAAAGCATTTTTTGAACAATGGCACATATTTGAACTAAAATTTTATTGCAACCATAGCCTATGAATGGATGAAAATGCATATTTTTCAATTAAATACAACTTAGAGAGTGTGGGCTGTTTCTGCTGCTTGAATTTGTACTTTAATAATGAGGTCCAAGTTTAAGAATAGCTACGCTACAAGTAATTTTTTTTTAGATTTAGGAAGGGAAGTTCGGATAATTTTACCGACTCGGACCTTTGAGTCTCGTTCAGCAAAATGAACAAATCTTTTTTCGAGTCATTTCGTTCATTTTAGCAAAATATAATTAAAATGTTACGTGTTACTTCCCTAACACGTCTACTACTTACGCAGACGTTGATCACACTACAAACAATACAAAACTATAATGCTATAAGAAACAGAAAAGATTAATTCACAGTTTACCTGGGTCTTCAGTCTATGATTAGCTCACCTCACCTCTTATCTGACAAGTCTTCGGGTTTGAGTCGTTCGTTCACCACGTGATAGACCCATAAGCTTTAACCAATG